ATCATTCCAAACTTTGCAGAGATTTTGAGAGCTAGAGAGCAAGAAGGAGGAGAGCAAGGAGCAACTAAGGGGATGGAAGAATGGCATAACAATTAGAGAGAACCTTGGGGAGCCTTGAGGCAAGGATCCAAGGGGTTGAAGATGCATTCTCTTTCTCCTCTTTGTTCTTAGTTTCTTTCATTTTATTTGTTTCTTGTAATTTCTTAGTTTCAATGTAACTTCTTATTTAGCTAGGGCTTAGGTTGAAGCCCTAAACATGTTTACCTTATTGTTTTGATGCTTGAGTGTATGAATTTCTCGATATTGTTGATGAATTCCAATTCACCAAATTAATCTTTCCTTGATGTGTGTTTTTCCTTGGTTGGCCATCTTTGAAAGCATGCTTCTTGAGATTGTTGGGGTTATGTGTATCTTCATGTTATCCTAAGCAATAAATGGATGAAGTAAGAATCATCCATGTGAATTGGTTTCTTGAATACCTAATGTAAACACCATGCTATTAGGATTCTTGTGATGTTCATATTCTCTTTGAACTTAATGGGTTCTCCTTGTAATTGAATCGAAGTACGAACCATACCTAGGTTCGTTTATGGGGAGGGTACAAGTATTGTAGCACGAACCATGCACTTTACGTATATTAGAGAGGATCAATGCGTCTTGAGCCACGACCCATGGTCTTGATTGCGAACATTTTCATCAACATGTTTAGAGTTCATCATTTGAGTATTCATGAATTTTGGTAGAATTGTTTAGGGTGGATTCCGAAACCCTAGTGTTTGTTACATTTTAATTTCACAATTTGATAATTCATCTCTGCTATTCTCATTTAAATTCAAAGTCCATTTACTTTCATGCATTAGAATTAGGTCACTTGAACCAAGACCAAACCCCCCCCCCCCCCCCAAATGTGTGTGTGTGTGTGCGTGTTTGACACGTTATGTGTCTTTGTCACTGATGTTATTTGTTTCTATAATTGTTTTGGACTTTTGGTTCGCAATATGTTCTTCGTTTTTGTGTGCTGAATCCAACCGTATAAAGAACGTGAATTTTGGACGTACGGTTGGAAAGTTATAGGCAAAACACTGGACAGAGGTCGAAACTGAAAAACAGAGAAAACGACTCTGTGCAAAAACGACCGGTCGCTTTTACCTGACGACCGGTCGCTTTAGCACTGTTCATAGGTGATAAATGGGTGATAAAAGGGTGATAGAAAATGCTGTTTGTGTTTTTGTTTAGTTTTCT